AAGACAAAGTCAACAGCTTATGGTAAGATGGCAACATCAAGACCCGTAGAAGGATAGGTGTTTCCCCAAAGAACAAATGCATGAGACCGCAAGAAGTGGTTAATGGAAGGCTCAAAATTCGGCGAATTTTGGCGAATTCTTTTCTTATGTTTGTATTATGACCCTGCATAGTTTGTGTGCAAAAGTTTCGACAACATTGCTTGTAGTGATGTGGCGAAAGACCCCGAATTTTGGGCCTTCCATTAACCGCTAGTGCTGATGATATCATCATCATTTCAACTTCATGAACCATTTCTTAAGCAAAATCGTGATAAGTATCTCAAGTTCTAGTTGATGAGAGTAGATCATGGCAAACCACCACTGCCGAATTCCTATAGCCTTACAGACATTGCTGATTGCACAAGGCAGCATTAACTAACAGAAATAGTACTTCTCGGAGGACCTCTAATTTAGGCCAGCGGGAGTGAAAGGGTTCCTTCCTGTGCTGCTACAGTAGGACCCCGGTATCGTGTCCCATTTCCTTTTGTACCCTGGAGTCAAAGTTGAACTTTCTTGTAGGTACTATACATGACAAAATAGAGATCTGATAGGATAAGTCTTGTAGGAAGAGTAGAGGGTTGTAGAAACCAGTAAGTAGGGAGTCGCCATGTGTCAAGTCTTGGTTCTACTGCAGCTCAGTCCTAGGGAAAGGCCATGATAGACTGACTCATTGTCCTCCGCGACAGGGCCTGGCAGAAAAGTCCAGAATCACGTGGGAGGCAGAGGCATACGTGCAAGCGGGAGGCCAACGTTAGGAACCTTCTTTTCTTAGACTCTGGCAGATAAGACAGTGCTGCTGCGTTGTTGGGCACCAAGATATTGCTATGTGAACAATGTCATGTGAAAGGAGTAGTCGACAGTGTCGGGCGATAGCTGCAAGCTTGCACCGACCTCTGCTGCAAATGGTTCATCTCGGCCTGGTACCAGATGCCCACAGTCTGTCTGCTTCCGAATGTCAGGGCCTAGCACTGTCCCGAATTTCCAATGGTGTGCTGCTGCCTGGGCCTGAGAGTCACGACTTTTCACTTGTGAACATGACTTTTGACTGTGGATTGTGACTCCTACCTCTGGACACGACTCTTGCCTGGGGAAGTGTCCTTCGTGGGACGTGACTTTTTAGTATGATTTTTTAATATGAGACGTGACTTTCACCCCTGGGATGTGACTGTTCATTGGGTGGCTGTTGGATTTGACCTTTAAGGTACCCAACTGTGACTTCTCTGAAATTGACCAACTTAGCCTCCCTGGGCCTGAAACCTTGACCTTGTATTTCGAGTTTGGGGTCTGAATCGTGGAAGGCCTTTCACTCTCGTCGCCCTAATTTTGAGGTCCTCCTAGAAAGTTAACAACTTGATCTGTCAATTATGCTAATTCCTCTTCTAGCTCTTTCATAATAAGACACAATCTGCAGTGTTGTTTCAATTAGTTCGTCTCTTGTAAACCAGTGATCCTCAGATGGTTCCTGTTAAGCACATCTAACCTTATATTGTCGTTGTGGTCTACCCTTGCACCCAGATTTGTAAACATTTTCCCCAACAATCCTGTCTACGTCATATTTCCCATCCATGTCAGGCGGAATCATCGATCTACAAGTAAGAAACAGTTCATTAGTAACGCAAGGTAGAAGCATGGAAGCATGAAGCACCGGATAAGTGTGCAATGTGGAGGAATCTCAACAACCTAGGAAGGACCATCCACATCACCAATCACATCTAGGATCTGCCACGTTCCTCTATAGGCAGGCAATAGTTTATGGGAGATGTTCACCTCAGGGAGAAACTCTTTGGATTTTACTGAGACTAAATCTCCCGCAACAAATTGCGAGGGTCTATAATGCTTATTCACTTGCTCTATCATCTGATGCTGCGTTTTAGCTATATTCTCCTTGACTTTTCCAGTACCTTTTTGATACTGCACAGCAAATTCCTTAGTTTCCAATGGAGTCTTTGTATTTGATCAGGATTCAGATAGTCTACAGGTCTAGGAGGGTGCCATCCCAAACGCAATTCAGTAGGAGTTTACAAGTAGACAGATGTACATACCAATCAATCCGATCCGGTCGGATGTACATTCGCAGTGTGTGTTGCAATAATTTGTTCATCTCCTTGGTCTGTCCCTTAGTCTCAGGATGTCTGCCTGAGGACATAGTGAACCATAGACTTTCATGAGTTGCTGCCACTGTTCACCTTCGACCCGAGTATCCCTGTCACTAACAATGGTTAAGGGATGCCCGAAATCCTTTACCCAATGATTAAAGAATTCTCAAATTACCAAATCCGTTCTTGCTTCAGCAGGAATTGGAACAAAGAAAGCAAATTTACTAAATCGGTCTACCACAACCATAACTTGACTCTTACCATTTCTTCTTTTGACCTTAGTGTCCATAAACTCCATAGACACAGAATCCCGGGTCCCGATGGTATCGGGCGGTTTGAGCAATCCAAGGGAGGCTTTGTGGAACTTTTCTTCCTCTAACATATCCGACAACCTTGCACGTAGGAAATGCAGTTATGCTTCATTCCCGACCAGGTGTAGGAGCGTAGGAGGTTAGCATAAGTCCTCCTCCATCCGAGGTGTCCCTCCGTATTGTGGTTTTCCCCAAGTATCATGTTATGAATTTCCTCGGTGTTCAGGACACATAGTGGATCATGGACGTCTATCTTCTCAAACAACAGTCCATGCGTCACTCTATAGTCCGGGACTTCGTGCGGTGGTGTCTGCACCTTGTCAATTAGTTGGCTATAGACTGAATCACTCGCACACGCAAACTTAATTTTCTCCTTCCGTTTCGTGCTTGCATCTAAATATGTGACAATAGCATCAAAAAAGTCAGCTCTTCTACTCAATGCATCGGCGACGACATTGTACTTCCCTTTTACTGGCTTCAATTCAAAGTCAAACTGATCAATCTCAGCAGCCCAACTAGTCAATTTAGGAGTCATACGGGCCTGCGTTTTAAGCCAACGAAGTGTCTCATGATCTGAGTACACCTAGAAGTGGTGTCCTACTAGATAGTGTCGCAGTGACTCAAAGCTTCCCGAAGAGCAAACAACTATTTTTCGTACGTGGAAGCGGCGACCTTCTCACTAGGTAGTCGAAAGGACATATATTCCACTGACCTGTACCCCTTGCCATCATCTTGCTGGAGTACGACCCCTATCTCGTACTGACTGGCGTCACCATGAAAGGCAAAGATGCATCTGCGACTTTCAACACCGGATAGTTAATCAGGCACTTTTTTAGACGCTTAAAGGACGTAGTGCAGTCCTGATCCCATTTCCAGATAGTTTCTTTCTTCAACAGTCTACGTGATGGGGCAGCGGTTACTGTAAAGTTTCGAACGAACTTGTGGTAATAGTTGGTCAAACCAAGGAATGAACGCAGTTTCGTCAAGGTACGTGTGTTAGGCCCATCTCTAATGGCTGCAATCTTAGCGTCTTCCGGTTTAATCCCATCACCATCAACCATGTGCCCGAGGTACAGAACCTGACGCTTCGCCCACTCACACTTCTTGGGGTTAATCCTAAAGTTGCCTTCTCGCAGCTTACTTAGCACAATTCGAAGGTGCTCACGGTGCTCGTTCAAACTCTTACTAAGAATCGGAATATCATTCAAGTAAACAACAACAAATTTATCAAGCCAATCACGGAACAAGTCATCCATGCACCGTTGGAAAGTTGCAGGCGTGTTAGTCAGACCAAACGACATTACGACAAACTCGTAGTGTTTGTACCTAGTCTGGAAAGTCGTCTTATGCTGATCTTCTCGCGCTACCTCAATCTGATGGTGACCAGATTTCAGGTTGATTTTCGAGAAGTACTTGCAACCTTGCACCCTATCCAACAAGTCGTCTATCCTAGGCAATGGTTCTGCATTTATCACAGTTATAGCATTGTGCAAGGAACATGAATGTGGACGAAGCAAAAAAATCCAATTGCAAATCACACTGAAGTCCGAGTAGTCAAAGCAAGAGCAGATAACACATTGGAACCAAGCAACCATCCATTTGAGAACGATACAGCAAA